GCTTCAGCCAGTTTCACGAGAGCCACATCATTCTCCATGGTGGTGAAATCAAAACCTGAATTGAAGGTGCTGCTGGCAATTTTTACGACTTTAGCAGCACACCTTTTAACACCCACAACCTGGTGAAATACGTCGTAGAAGCTCAAACACTGTGCTGCAGTCACAACGGTCTTTGTATCAATTAAGACACCACTACAAACTTTTCAGCCGTCGGTACCTCCATCAGCGTTGCAGTCAGTCAGCGATCACCAGCAAAACACTACAAATTTATAACTTTTTATATTTATACTAATAAATAAATAAACAAACATGTACCATTTTTGTCAACTACTTTTTGCCATTTTTTCGCTAGAGACATTATTCCATCAGTGTAAAACTTTTGAAAAAAGTCGAAATTTCGGAATTTCATGAACGGAAGCGAACAAACCATTATTGCGCTACACGAACTGATACAACATCGTTTTAGTAAACTTCGCAAATTTCATTAATGGCTTACATGACATTGTTCCCTTCTTCCTTCCTAACTTCCGTTAAGTGTTCCACCAGCATAATTCGAGACCTTATACAAGTGTGATGAGTCGYCAAAAGCTTTTGCAGCTTCAAAGGGCTATTAAATTTACCATGTTCCGGTTTCCGGTCTGGGAGAACCTTCACCTAAAATCAGCATGTCACGAACCATTTGTACCAGTGTTTTGACCTCAAGGAGCAACAATTTTATGAAGTTTTTGAATCCTTTTTAAGTAAATTTTAGATAATTGTTARTGAAACTTAGTATAAGTGCTTTAAACGCTATATTTTACTTTAATTAGAAGTTTAATTATTCTAGTTTCTGCGCYGAATCATTTTGTTGCTACATTTATAACATTACAATTTGTTAGTGTGTAAACACAGTGTTTTTCTTTTTTATTTTATTTTCTGTTTTTATTTATCTCATTTTATACATTTATTTAAAGCTGAGTTTAGTGGAATATTTTTAATGTCTCAGTGCATCTAAAACTGTTCGCTACATTGTTTCTCACACTGTTTGGTTTTGCACTCAGATATTTTTCTCAAACGGAATTTGAAAAGCTTCAACAATTTCAAGCAAAACAATTTACTGTTGGCTGTCTGAACCAGTACGTTCTGAAATGATCAGTACATCTCAAACCGCTCTCTCATATGTAGTAAGCGGAGGGTAATTTTTACGAGAAGAGCACCACTGAACTCGATGACGTCTAAATATAGTTTTTTGAAAATGAAAAATTCATAATTCGAGAAATTCGTGTGAACTTTATCATTCATTATCTAGCCAAGGAATAATAAAACATTTTTATTTTGTTATAAGCTCAATTTATTTATTATTTATTATTTATTTAAATTTTAAAACGCAAAAAATGCACCATTTTACAAGGCTTTTGCAGTTGACTTTACCCACGATGCTAAAGATGCAATATTAGTGAAAACAGCTGG